CTAAACCTTTAACCCTAAACCCTTAATCCCCTACACTAGGGGTTAAGGGCGCCGCTAAGCCCGCAAACAGGAAGCCTCAAACCCTGAAGGTTTCAACACACGACATGACACCCTATAAATTCTACTACACTCTACGCCCGAAGCTCGCCGTAAACCTGGCCATGGTACCAGGTTGTTTCAGACGGAAGGTCACAGGTCCTGCGTTTGCAGGCGTGTTATTCAGGGTTCTCTGCGCGGGCTGTGCAAAAAATCTCAGAGGGATGCTCTCTCACCGCTTTTCTGTGACATTTTCGCAGGGTCTGCACGTTTGTTGTTTTTTTTTGAGAGCTTTCGGGGCTTCGGATGGAGGTGTCGAAAGAACTTCAGTTGGCAGCCACCCCCCCCCCCCTAAAGCTCCTGATGCCCCATGAAGATGGTTTCGATGACTCAGACATGAGAACGCCTAGCGTCGGGGTTTAGGGCTGAGGGTGTGGAGGTTAGGGTTGGGGCTGGAGTTTGGGAGTTTAGGGGTTGGGGTTTAAAGTCATAACCTGCAACAAATTTCCGGCGAGCAATTGGCAATCCTTCGCTTAACCTTGGCGTTGTTAACCTCCTTACTGGTTTGATCCTCTGAAAACCACTGCGCTGCATTTCCTGGAAGTGCGTCCCTGTTGAAGCGATGAAGGGGTGCATCTGTAGAGCCCGCAGTTATATACCAAGCCAGTAAGGAGCCCTGTATAAACCCCTGAACCCTAAACCCTACACCCCCCAGTATAGTTGCCACCCGGGCCCACCCGACCCGAAATCACACATCCATGAACTCCCCCTTGGGGAAGACCTTCGAGCATGGAGCTCCACAGTGACAAGTGTATGCAGAAGACAATCCCTAATTCCTAAGCTCTGTAGTAAGCCCTAACCCCTAGACCCCCAAACCCCAAGACCCTAAACCCCTAGACCCCCAAAGCCTAAACCCCAAACCCCTAAACCCCTGAACGCTAAACCCTAAACCCCTAAACCCTCAACCCTCGACTCCTAAACATCGCATGTCAACGCCCTACCGAAAGCCCTGGCTCGAGCTCAACCCAGGCCTCCCGGCCACAGGACCCGCCCCCCGAAGCCAGAAACTCGGCTTGGGGGTTTAGGGCTTGGGGTTTAGGGTTGATGGTTTAGGGTTCAGGGTTTAGGGCTTTAGGGTTGAGGGTTTAGGGACTCAGCGCTGAGGTTGAAGACGTTCGTTTCTGTTGGAGGGGGGGCCAGGGGGCGTTGGCCGGATTCCTTTTTCGGTCTTTTTTGTGTTTGTAGTAACTACTTAAAAAGGTAGGTGTTGGGCTACAGGTCAACCCCATTCTTCTGAAGTGTGTAGCTAGGGTGCTCCGCGCGTGGCAGCTGTGCAGAGTCGAACATTCTGCAAACTTCGAAGTAGTCGACAGCTGCTTCCTTCAGGATCCTGTCAGGGTCTTGGGTTTAGGGGTTTAGGGTTTAGGGTTTCGAGTTTGGGCATAGGGTCTAGGGTCTAGGGGTCTCTTAGTGGAGTCCCTTTTTTCAAGCTTTAGCAGGATACAGTGCTTCAGTGATTGAGGTTTGCTGGCTTGCTGCCAATACTTCAGGATCCAACTGCTTAGGGTCCGATCTTGGGGTCCGACTTTTTTTTCGGAAGCACTCGTGTTGTTTCACCCTCCCAATAAACCGCACACAAAATTCCGTCTTAATCATATTCGTGTCCCTAATAAGCCCAACACCCCAACCCTAGACCCCGCTAAACTCGAGGTCTTTAAATCCAAAGCTTCGCTCTAAACACTGAGTCGTATACCCCCAAAGCCGTAAACTCCTTTAAGCCTAAACCCTACACCCTAAACCCCTAAACCCCTAAACCCTAACCCCTAAACCCCTAAACCTTAAATCCTAAACCCTAAACCCGAGAACCCTAAGCCTTAAACCCCAAGCCCTAAACCCTGAGCCCTAAACCGGTGAAGGGTTGCAGGTGTAGGGTTTGAAAGGTTTGGGGCTTGAGGGCTGCAGGCTGAAGGGGTGTCGGTGTACGGGTTCAAGGTTTGGGGTGTGTCCGGCTTTAGGGTCAAAAGCTCATGGGTCTGGTTTGGCCAAGGGTTTCGGGTTTAGGGTTTAGGACTAAAAGGTTAACATTTATGGTCAGGCCTAGGGTTCAGTTATAAAGCCCACTTCCCGGACACTCCTCTACCCGCAAGGTTTCCTCAAAGTACGGGTGGCGACGTCGCCACTGCGGCAGGTGCGCGACTTCATAGCTATGAGCTGAACTGCAGCAGTCTAGAATAGCTCTTGACAGACCTGAGTTAAAGGAAAAGTTTCGAGATTTTGGGAGGTCGGGTGTGCTGGACAGCAGCAGTCCAAGAACTTCTGTCTGGCAAGGTCAACAAAGTGAAGACCCCGTGAGTTTGCATTGGAGAGTACACGTGCCAGTGATACATTGGGTTCTAGACTACGGTTCTAGAATACGGTTCTATAATCGCGTTCTAGAATCGGGTTCTATAGTAAGGTTCCTCTAAGCCTTCTCTGATGCGCAGTGAAGCGCCGATCACATGCACCTTTTTCCTCAAGCCGAAGCATAGGCTCGTTGGATTCACCTCATTTTGCCTAAGCACAGCAAGCCTTGATGACAATCCAGAGTTTCTTCGAGTCAAGGGTTCAGCATCGTGTGAGATCCGCGATGCCATGGCGCTCCAACGACCGGTGTGGCCCGGTTTGGACCACTGATAGAGCCTTTTTTGTTCAACTGGGTAACGGGGAGTGCCTAGCTTGGGGTGACTCAGACGTTGGTGGCAAAATCCCAGATTCGCACAAAGCCAAGCTGGACCAGGGCATCAAGGCCGCCTGGACCACGGAAGGAGCCGTTCTAGCACAGCTGGACACGGGAGAATTTCTAGCATGGGGTGATGGCGGAAAGGGCGGCGTGCTCTCGGACGAGCACAAGGCCCAGCTGGAGACGGGCGTAAAGTCCGTCTGGACCACGGAGGAGGCTTTCTTGGCACAGCTGGACAGTGGGGACTGTTTGGCATGGGGAAGGTCGAGTTATGGTGGTGCTCTTTCAACAGAAGCAAAAGCCCAGCTGCAACGGGGCATCCAATCCGTCTGGAGCACGGGTGGTGCCTTCCTGGTGCTCTTGAACACAGGTGAGTGTTTAGCCTGGGGTGGTCGGGGCGGTCGTCTCTCGGACACGGACAAGGCCCAGCTGGAGAAGGGCATCAAACGGGTCTGGGCCACGCGATACGCTTTTCTGGCGCAGCTGGTCACCGGGGAGTGCCTCGCATGGGGTGACTCAGACTATTACAACAAGATCACCAAGGAG